CCCCCCCCCTCCCAGTCGTCGAAGAGAGGGGAGAAGAAAATTGGCCTCGTTTCGTCCGAGACATGCGTTAGGAGCTGCCTGACGCACCCGGCCAGAGGGAGGGGCCCCCAGTCAAAAGTTCGGGCAGCCCTGCATTTCGACCGACTTTCTGGGATCCTTTTTTCCCTTTCGGAGGAAAGATACGCGATTCGGCAGAATAAGGGGGTTGTCGTAGTGCGTGTGCTGTGACCAGAAGCCGGACCTAGGTTCCGGCCTAATCACCCGCGGCCAGCTACATCTCTTGTGTCCTGTCCGACGCTAAAAGCATGATTTAGGCCGGGGTGCAAAGGGCGATTGCATCGATCTGTTGATCGTTTTGAATTCAACCTGGTATGATTCCGTCGTCTTCATGGTATCTTTGTATACGAAGGCTTACAGTCCGCGGGGTTCTGGTAGCAGCGTGGGTAGTAGTCTCGTTGCTTACTCTCCGTAGAACGGCCAAAGCGGACTATAGACATGTCCGGAAACATGACGAGATACAAATCGACATATCTCCAACAACTAGTTTGGAGAAAAGGTCTCCCTGCCCCTGACGATCCTTCTGACGTGTCGGAAGTTCGCCTCTCGTTGATACACCGGGATAGTGACACCTTGGCAGAGCAACGTAGGACGACATCACTCGAGTCAATAAACTTCAGACGTGAAAGGCATCGAAGCTCCAGCTGAGCAACGTGCCAGATTTTTTTTTGGCTTCCGCCTTTCGGCCGGAAGATCATCATCGTTCACCATTAAGCGGCACGGAAACTTAAGGTATCCGGCGTCAAATGCTGTGATACCTCTACTCTTCCTTCAATGAGTCGATATGACGGAAATTTCCTGCCGGTCCCATCGGGGAGGCCGACATGTTTGAGCAATAAGAGAAACAAAATCACCCTTCTAGGAAACAAAACAAACGCTCGACGGAGATATTCATTGTCGATTTCCATGCTATTGCCCCCTGCTCTGCCCGAGCCCAACTCTCGCTCCGAGACATTAAGGTAATCATTCAGCGTCGTACACCACATTGAGGGTGTAACCATATTGTCCGTCAGACCACTTCCCATCAAGCCACAACTAACACAACGCAGCAGAAGTATCCAGCCTCATTTCCCGCAAGTACGTGCCGAGAGCAACCCGAGGAAGTTCCCGTATGTCAATCTCTCGTCTTCCACCAGGAGAAAAGTCTGGAAGAAAACCGTTCAGCCCCTCAGGAGTTGGTGTTCCGGTGCCACGTGCACGTAAGACTGCAACCACATGGTTTGAAGACACAAGGAATTTATAAAAGGCGACATGTGGCGTTCTTCGGCGCCCTGAGAGAGAGGCAAGGTAATCTAAACATTCCGAGGGGCAGTAAAGCCACAACAGTCGATTCAAAGACATTTGTGGCAAGCGAGCTGAAGATCAAAAGCTTCTATGTTTTTTTGCTTGTGTCCCGTGAGAGAAGCTTTTACCGGGTTTCTGGGTTCACTGGGGTCTTTGGTTCGCCAAAAGAAATGGAGACAAAGAGGCGGGGCCGGGGGTTATCGTGGCGGAGAGATTCAGCTCCTGTGATTAGCCGCAGTTTGACGGATGAAGCTTGCAACTCCTACCGACAGTCGAACGGTAAATAGCGAGTTGCTCATGATGAATAGGATGTTGGTCATTGCCGGCGGCCTCGACACGGGTTGTCAAATCTGACTTTGGCGATGATGATCCGGTTGACATGGTCCGGGGCCCTTCAAGCTGCAGCAAGCAGCCGTTCTTTCTGGTTCAATTGTCTTCATTACACTTGGTGTTATCTCCATGCGGAGTCGGGCCTCATATCGCTTGAGTACACTCTCTCGTAATTCTTTCAGACTACGTAGCCCGGAGAGGCTTTCTTTCGACCCAAACTTTTTGGCGCCAGAACTGTCTTGCGGGGAAAGCTGAGTACTCCAGAGGGCTTCTTCTCAAAAAAAGAAAAAGAAAAAGAGAGGGGGCGAGACATGGAGGAAAGCGGTGAGAATATATGCGTAGCCACAAAATTGTAACCAGGAATAAGAAAAAGGAAGGACTATTAATCATGTTGCAAATGGTAGTCCACGGTATCGGAACCAATGCTTTCTCCAAATTTCAACTAACTGTTGACATTTGTATATAGCTTCTGAAAGCTGTCAGTAAGTTGCCGGAGGGCCTGTTGTCGTGGAACTAGTCTATGCGGGTGCTGTTGAGTCAGGGCCTGATAACTCCAGTCCAAGTAATCCTAATCCATGAACCACAATGTCCGCTCTCGCAGCTGAGGAGTCGAACGGAACCGAGACATTCCTCCAAACTATCGATTCGTCTGTGTGATCATCTCAAGGTACCTGGCCTAATTGGCTCGACTTTCTCCTTGATAATACTGGAAAAAGAGATGCTCTCCGACTACACACCACATACCACACACACACGCACCAACCAACCAACCAAACCAACCTCACTCAAACCGAATAGCATACATCAAATTCTTCACACTCTCAAACCTCGCCATCCCTGGCCCCCTCAACTCAAAAGCAGGAACCTCATCAACCCAAGTCTCAACCCGCACCCTCCTCCCCCCACCACCCTTCTCCCGCGCCGCCATCCTCTCCCAAAACGCCACAAAACTCGCCTCCGTATGCCGATAAAGCCTCTGCCCCTTGTGCATCTCCTCCCGCCTCGCCGGCCCCTCCGTCGTCCCCGCGGTCCGTCCAAACACCAAATCCCCTTTCCTACCCGAGAGTAAATCCAGCAGCAGACCCGCAAATGTCTCCTGGTCGTCTAGGCTGAAGCAGTGCTGCACGTAGTTACACGTAATGATGGAAAATTTCCCGCGCCAGTCTGGGAGGGCGTCGGTTCCGTCCAGAGCATTGGCCTGGCGAAAGGTAATTCCCGAGTCCCGGTCATTGAACAAGGCGTGTCCGGCGTCAAAGAATTTGGGCACGAGGTCTGCGCCGTAGAGCATGGTTGTCGGGGCACCTGCGTGGGCCTGCGAGATGTCAATGTGTGTAAGTAGTGTTAGACACACCAGTCAACAACTGAATAATCGTCACGTTGCAGTGACCCATGTTGCCGGAGCCGCCAACGCAAACACATGAACAGAAATAAAGACGGCGGGGGGGTAAGAGAAAAGAAGCACGCACCAAGCTGCGTAAATCCTGGCCAATTGCACATCCAAAATCAAGCAGCTTCTCTCCTTTCTGCGTACGCAAAACAGCCTCGTCAAATTCCTTGTTATTTCTGAGCTGTAGCTTCAGGAACAACCAGAGGCCGATACATGGGTAAGGGCAATCGTTCCATGCTTTTTTGCGCTATTATCACGAGCGATGTCAGTGCTATGTTGACAACACTCAAGCTTATACCAGGCAGGGGAGTGAGGGACGGAGTGGAAAGGTAAGCGCGTGAACGAATATGGCATACAGCTTCTTCAAGATGCTCCTCCAGCTTATCCTCGGGGATCTTGGCATACTCCACAAAGAGCTTCTTCGTATGCTCTTCGAGAGGGAGGGGCAAGCCATCGGTCCAAAAAGGGGAATTTGTGTCCGTGTCAGAAGGAAGTCGATGAGCCGGTAGGCCATCGGCGGCAATTGAACCGGCGGCGGTGTTGATTGTTCCCTCAGTCATGGTTGAAAATTGTGACAAGACCGAGAGAGAATCTTGAAGGAAAGAAGACGGTGAGTCTACCGTCAAGAGAGAACGAGGGAACACCACACTTGAAGTGCTGTCTTTGTATCTTCAGACGAACTGGGTCTGTGCGTAGGTAGCTGACGGTTTAGTCTGGCATGTCTGGGTACCTTAGCCTGGGAAATGTCTCGCCATGTTCGGGGATACTTTGATAATCGAAGCCGAGTTTACGTAGGTATGCTGTGGCTCAGGAGGAACGGTCGGATGGCTCAACTAGTCGGATCAATCCAGACATCTGTCAGTCGGTTCATACGTGCGCAAATGATGCAGTGTCACTCCAAAGTCAGCTTGACGTGCCGGCAGCCGGTGCATCGGTGCCCGTGTTGGATCATCAGTTACAGTTAAGTCTTTAGTTGTTCATTTTCTGAGACCACTACCCAAAGATGACCACAACGACACCTCAATGACTGCACCGCATGCGCTCAAACAATGTAACACCCAACAGGTCCGTTGGAAACAAGGAGAACGCAAGTCTCATAAAGGAATCATGCTAGGTTATTAATGCAGTCTATCTATATGCCATGAAACGCGTGTCGTGTTCCGATCCAAAAGTCAACCGAGTTCAAACTGCTTTTTGTCGGGCCCAGGGTGTTTTCTCTGCATCATCCGCGTGGAAACTCTCAAAGCGCCTAACTAATTTGAATACGGTACCCAGTAGGGGTTATTAGTTTTCGCAACGTCGAATCATTTACTTGGTCCTTACAGGTAAGGCGATCTTTGCTTTGTCGCTTTGTTCCTCAGCCGCATCCATGTACAAGTCAATCAGACATCCGGCAGACCATGCTTGTGTGGGACACTGTACACTGTTAGCAAGCGAGCCATAGTTTCCAACGCTGATACAACTCACAGAGTCAGGGCAGTCTTCGCCATCCTTCTGCGTCAGTTCCGCCAGTCCGGCCCAGACGCTTTCCCGGATCATTTGCTTGCAGCCCATAAGTCTTCGGGTGACTTGCTGGAAGGCCTCAATACGTCCAGCCTGGTCACCTCTTCTTGCGAGGTCAAACTTGAGCAAGGCGCGAAGGAAGAAACCCGTCGGCCAGAGCCATTCCGGGCCCTGGTGATAGTTTCGTCCCTTGCTAGTGGCGAAGTCCTCGCTGTCTTCGCTGTTACGGTAGTAGGGCCTGTAGTTGAGATCGGCAGGATCGAGAGTTGCCATGCCTGTAGGCCCGCGGATAGTTTTGTCGGCAACCAAGAGAGCGTGCAGCGCATGCGCGGGATCGAAAAGCTCGGGTGCCGCGCACATTGCAATGGGGAAGTTGGCACGCAGCTGGTAGTCTTCGTACTCCTTGCCGGACTTGTACAAGTCTTTGTAGATACCGCGGCGGTTGATAATCTTAGAGTTGACATCGTACTTCGTGTCTTCCTCAGGAGAGAGGGGAACCCAGTAACATCGCTCAAAGCTGTCACGAATCAGGTTGGCCCACTCCCTGAGAGAAATGGTCGACTCGTCTGCCTTCTTCACGGACGAATACTGATACTTGCCTTGCGAGTTGAGCGAAGCCACCCATTTCAAGGTGCTGTATAGTAGACCAGTGATCTCAATGGCAGCGCCGTCGCGAGGTGTGCCGGGAACACCCTTGGAGCCAGCGCGCTCGCTTTCGCCCATCTTGTCCATCCATGTGCCACAGTTGTTCTGGTTGCCACCAAAGATGATGCCGGTGTCCCAGTCGGTCTTGATGGAAATGTTAAAGCCATTGTCGCTCATCTGCGAGTCGATCGAAGGGCCGGCATTGGCCTCGCGGAAAGACATGCCAGATGCGTGCCTCTGCAGCGCTTCCTGGATGATGTCCTCAATGGTGCTTTCCTGGGAATAGGTGCGGGGGTCGTCAACATCGAACCACGTGTCGTCGTAGGGCAGGAAGCGTCTCTTGACCTTCTCCTTGAGCAGGTCCAGTCCGTTGGGGGCGAACTTGGTATAGTCTTGGATGCATTGAAGGAAGAACCAGATGGAGTCGCGAGAGTTGTATCGCGGCAAAGCTCCACTGCTGAGCAGGTTGGGGATCATGCCGTGCTTCAGTACACTAGCGAATGCAAGGATGTGCTCCTTCGCTTCGTCAAAGCGGCCAGTGCCAAGGTAGAGACCACGGAGGGAGATGAAGACATCACGTCCCCAGCACCTGGCCCATTCGACGGCAAAATGAGGCAGGCCGGCAGCCAACGACGGGACCAGTTTCTTTGGCCACAAGGAACCAGACTTGACCAAACCAGTCTCTTGCACGCTGACCATCGCAAGACTTTGGAGGAACCATTGCCCTTCACGGACGTTTTCGTTCATGAGTTCGAGCCCACGCTCCCATGAGGCAGTGTATAATGTGCGCAGCACGAGGCCAAAGTATCTCGGCAGCAAGAAGCTCGGGATCTTGCGAATGGCGTCAAACCGCTCCTTCAGCCAGACGGCGGGCTTCTCGAGATTCTCGAAATCGGGAGTTTTGCTGATGCGCTCCAGGCGTCCGACAATGTAATCCAAAGCCCACTGGCCGTCGCGAAGATTCTGGCACAGAGGATGAGCAAGATTGTTGTCTCGGATGATATCCTTTAGAAGACTCCACCAGCCCTGGAGACCGGCATAGACGAGCTTGCCGTAGCTGGGAATTTCGTAGCAGCCGTCGTTCCCACCGCTTCCATCACGTTCCTCAGCCTCACATCGGTAGAGCAGGAAGTTGAGGTCCACAAGGTTCAGGCTCTCGACAGCGGATCTGGCACCCGAAGTGACGTAGTTGTCGAGACCTGATGAGTGTTCGGCCGCCGGGATCCAGGTCTCGAAGAGGGCAATGCTACCAGGAGGGAACTTGTCGCGGACGGTAATGATAGTCTCATCGCCCTTGACCTCCATGCGAACGCCGGGGACATCAACGACACGGCTAGGCAGACCGCGCAGTAGCTTCTTGTCGTCCGAGGCCTCTTTGCGGGCCTCATCGCTCGCGTCTACTTCGAGCATCCAGCTACCAAGATGACGGGCTTTCGTTCCTCCAAGGTGTACGGCATTGAAAGCACCGTTGCCGTTGCCGTACCCAGGGAAAGCAGTGTGGGCAATGAGGAAGTATCCCTTTCTCGACTCAGGGTGGACTCTGTGCACGGTGATGTACTGATCCTCGTGGTGGATGTGAGTCTCGTCGTATCCGTCCTTACCCATGAGGGTGTGGATCTGGTTCAAGAGCTTCTTGATGCCACCAATGCCGTTTCCGCCACCACCAATCTTAACAGCCTTGGAGGATGACTCGGACGTGTACAACCTAGTCTCGTTTACGAGGTCAACAAGCTTGGGGTAGATCTCATCGTAGCCCATGACACTGCCAGTCGCACTGGCGCACATGTTGACAAGAGCCGCGTTCGGAAGGGTGTCGCGAGCATCACGCTTCTGGGCCGGAGTCTCGTTGTCGTGAGTGCAGTCCATGAAGAGGGCTTGAACTGGCACAGGCTTGATTTTTCGAATGATTTCTCTTGAGGACGGGCTGCTCCCGTTGAGCATGTCGCTGCCTTCATTGGACGGGCTCATGGGGCTCATTGGAGACTTGGGGTCCGCCTTGGAAATCTCGTCAACCTCAAAGCTGCCAATGGGACGACCGCCGTGCTTGTGAACCAGACGACTGAGCTCGCCAGTGCTCCACGCTTGCATGGCCTCGCGGATCAAGGCACTCAGACCCAGCCTTTTCACGAAGACGTAATCCATCTCTTCGGAACCCGAGAACAACTCTGCCACAACGTACAAATCCGGTCGGACTCGACGAGCCTCGTCGAGAATGTGCTCGGCAACGTGAATTGGCGTAGAGTGGCAATTGTCAATGCGGAAACCAGCAAAGTACTTGGCGAGCATACGGGCGTACTTGGTCATGAACTCCCACAGGAAAGGACTGTCCGAGGCACCCTTGCCGTAGCGGAGCTTGACACAGTCGCCCCAAACAATGACCTCGCGCCTCAGGTACACGCGAGAATCCGGGCCGGCGTTGTCGACCAAGGCGTTGCCGCCCCAAACCCAACCGTTGTTGACCAGAACATTCTCTTCGGGTTTGTTCTTGGCCGTAGTATCGTTCTTGGGCAGGCGAGTGAAGTAGGTCTCGATGAGAGGAAACTCCTTGTTGATGGGACCCATGCGCGGGCCATGTTCGTCAAGTCGGCAGTACTTGATGCGGTTGAACAGCTGCTGTAGGATCTCGCTGAGCTCATTATCGTACTCTTTGTAAAATGGCAGGTTGATTTCGTCGAGAATCGAGACCAACTTTGACTTTGCTGCCGCCTTTCTCGGGCTACTGCCCTCCTCACCTTGGTAGCGTCCAAGAATGGTGGAGAGAAGCCCGGAAGCCACCTTGGGATCGACCTTTCTCCTGAATCTTTCTCCCAAGCGGTCACCGCCCTGGAGACCGTTCTTAATGAGGAAGTCGGCCTGGTCTTTCAGGGAGGCATCCTTCAATCCAGTCACATTTGCGTCGCCACTCGTATCCTTTGGCAGCGTGGTGCTGCCGGCAATCCAAGCTTCCAGGCCCGCTTCAACATCGCGCTCGACGTCAATGGCGTAGTATTCCCAGAGGCGGATCTCGGATATCACCTGCTTCTTGATGGCGTCCATAATCTTGATGAGGTCATCGTCGCTCTTCACTTCGGTGGGGAGTCCAAGCTTCTCAAGGTTGTCGCTGAGCTCCAGCAGCTTCGAATCCAGCAGCCACGCTGACTCAAGCCAAGGTGCTGTTATCAGGTTGTATCCAGCATCTGGGTGATCTTGCAGCCATGCAGTGTTATGTGCCGTGTGATTTAGGACAATATCGGTCAAACTTAGCAGGGAATACTGTTTTTCTAAGCTCTCCACCAGGCCTTTGATGTCTTTCTCGCCGGCAGGGAAGCATTCGGGGTCCCAGCCCAATTGATCGTACAAGCTGTAGGGGGAATTGGAAGCACCGCGAACCTGCAGCGGGGTGAAGTGAATCATGTTGTAACCACGGTCGCTA